CAGTATTTGTACTGCAAAAAGTGAATTATTAAACAATCTATCTATCTATCTATCTATCTATCTATCTATCTATCATCTGATTGGGGGAAATCCGTAAATATGCTGATTTCTTCGACACCTTTCAGCGAGCTGTTTACAGTGGATTTACGACAACGAAACGCCGAAAACAGGGCTTTTACGTCTGTGTTTGTTTAAACAAAACAACACTACAAAAGAATCATGTTTAAAAACAATACAACAAAGCTGTCAGGAAAGAAGAAAGACGTCCAGGTGCGAGAGTGTAACCTGATACCAATGTCAATCTCACCATTATATCACATGGATATATTAGAGATAAACTTATAATAGTAAGCGAATCCAAAGGGTATATATTGAGAGATATTGAGAGTTTGAGTTGTTTATATTTTATGTTCTCATATAAGATCATATTGCAAATAGTCATTTTACTTTGGCTGTTTATGGCAACAAAGGAGAAGCTTGAATACGAGGATTTCGTTGGATTGAGTCCGGTTGACAGGGTGGGAAAAGGTTGAACTTGTGGCAAGAGCATTTAAAGCGTATGAATTGGGTGCTTCAAAGAAATTTACACAGGAACAAATTTTTGATAGTATTAATTAAGAAGGAATACCAACAAAGGCTACAAACTAATGATATTATTAAGGGACCGTTCATTATTTATGGAAGGGGGGGGAGGGGAAAAATGAGGGGGGGGGCATATGTAGAAATAAGTGACTAGAAGGGGGGCTATTAAATTTTTTCAAGAAAATTACGGGGGGGGGGTTGCAATTAAAATTGAAGGAATTTGCTTAATAACCTGGTATCCATTTGGTTATAAATGTTGCAACTAAATCATGGTCACTGATGTGAAATAGTCTGGATTTATCTTGTCTTGTGTGTGCTGTATGCAAATCAGTCTTTACGGATTGCAGACTAGTTAAATTGACAATGTATTATTACATCAGCTGTTGATGTGGTTAAATACATTTAAATTAAGCAAGGTTAACAGCGGATGTATTATGCAGGCCACATCCGCTGAGGGGAGTCTGTGACGTCATATCGATCAAAGGGGGTTGTTTCATGCCTTGTGATCAGTGCTTCGGTCTGGGTATTCATTCTGCTATTGTATGCTTTGCCTAGCTGCAGCAAGTTTTGCGCTTCGATACCTTTTCCCCACCCACCCACCCACCCACCCACCCATGTTTATTCTAAAAGATTTTATCTGGTAGCTAGTATAGTATATGTCATTTTATTTAATGTATAAATTTTTAATCTCACATAAAATAGGATGTATAGACCACTATACATTGTATTTCGCAGGTATGCCTTGGCAGAATTGTCATTGCTATCGCCTTTTGCTGCTAATATTACTGATTGTTGCTTTATTTTAATATGCAGGGGGGGTCATCATTAAATTTCTGCCATTTAGGGGGGGCTTTCAATTTTAAAATTTTAGAAAAGAAAAAATTCCCCTCCCCCCCTTCCATAAATAATGACCGGTCCCTAAGAGCGATCCTAACACTCTGTGCAATGAATATTGGAAAGATGACATTCAAACATGGCCACATCTTGATGATGGAATGCTACATTCTACGCGTAAATGCAGTGGATGTTGAATATATTGGCTTATTTTCCACCCTGCTCGGTTTCCTTTGTTCTTATCGGGGAATATATTCAATATTCCCCTCTAATCAATTTCCGTTTAATAATCCCCTCTAATATTCACCTGCAATTGATATTCCCCTCTAATATTCACCTGCAATGTCTTTGCAGCACAAAAAATGAGAAAAAAACAACATAACGAAGGCAATATGGCATTAGGAATTATTTCTATTCTGTCTCATTAACGCGACCTCGCAGTGTGAAAAATAAGTACGTTATTTTGAGGCACCTCGGGGATATGTGTTTATTCACCTCGGCGCTGCGCGCCTCGGTGAATAAATCACATATCCCCTCGTTGCCTCAAAATAACCTATACAAATACAAATACAAAGATGAGAGGGCCTACTCATATTGGATGAGTGGATTTGTTGAGATAATTTATGTTGCCAAATGCCCCATTGACAAGACCATGACATTTTTTGTAAAGCTCAGTATGTCCATCACAAAGGATCTGTGATAACTCGCATATAAAAGTGTGGATGCGTGTCCTTGAACAGCTGGAACAGTTGAGGCATGTAATCATGTACTTGCAGTCCTCTATGTATAAGATCAACTATGCTTACAACAACCAATATATTTCCCCTGCATGTGTGCATGTACCAGTGTTCCCCAAGGATGGAACAAAGGAATATGAAAAGAAGTAAATCCAAGCAAGGTTAAAAATTTAATATTTAGACCAAACTCCTGGCTGCGATTAAACATTGAGGAAAGAATTTGACCCCAGAAAACCTGAGGACAGAAATATTGCCAATGAAAGTGTTTCTTTATCATTTATTTGTGTAGTTTTAATTTTTCTCCCCTATATACAGTTCCATAGACAATATTTACATATTTTTCCTTATATTAATTTGGGCTAAAGACCTACTAGATACCTTGTCAGGCTTTTTGCTTTAGGCCCCTATTAAAGGTTTATAGTTAACTGTTAGATTTATAATATATTATTCTATTTTACAGTCAAATCAGAGAGAGAATTTTCAGAGTAATAGAGGAACAATAATATGCAAATAGAATGTTTTCATAAAAAAATGCTGCTTAATTTGTTTTTTGAAGATGTATTGTATGTCTTTATTTTTTATTCTAGTGAGTTCCATACATCAACTCCATTATTTAAGAGAATATGTTTTACATAATTTGTTCTTTTATACCACTTGTGAAGTTTTGATAAGTTTCTTGTGCTACTTTGATGAATCTGATTGATAGTCACAAAAATTTATCCAAATTTCAGGCAGATTTTTAAGAATATTGAACAGCATTCAGAGCATTGTAGATACTGTTCCTTCTGCTTGTGTTTTGCTCTCATGCAGTTGGCTATGGGAGTGGTTCTGACAATGAGAACAACTGACACTCTCAATATCTCTCAATATTATATACCCTTTGGATTCGCCTACTTTTAGAAGTTTATCTCTTAATATATCTAATTACTAATAGTATGTCATATAATTTAAGGTGAGATTGACATTGGTGTCAGGTTACACTCTCGCACATGGACGTCTTTCTTCTTTCCCGACAGCTTTGTTGTATTGTTTTTAAACATGATTCTTTTGTAATGTTGTTTTGTTTAAACAAACACAGACGTAAAAGCCCTGTTTTCGGCGTTTCGTTGTCGTAAATCCACTGTAAACAGCTCGCCGAAAGGTGTCGAAGAAATCAGCATATTTACGGATTTCCCCCAATCAGATTCCATTGAAATCTTTACCAGTACTTTGAAAATACACACAGATCAGCCAGAATACAAAAGTTTGGACTATCTTTTAATATAGCATGAGAAAATCAACAAAATGTCCACACAAAATTATCGCTCACTCATTAGTAAAATATATGGCAGCCATGGCTTGGCCGCGCGCTCGCCCCAATGTTTTGCACCCCCGGCAATATGGCGGAATAAACCTTGAAAGGGCCTGTTAAATGCTAGCCTCCTCCGCAGGCATCTCACCCGACGAATCGGGTGGTGGGAAAAAGTTTGGTGAGAAAATTTTTTTCAAAACCCATTCGCAGGCTAGAACCCATAGAGAGGCCTGCGGAGGAGGCTAGTTAAATGCAAACTTTGTGTTTTAAAAACGGGTTAGGATAAAACGCGGATACGGACGGACGGATGAATGACGGACGGACCGGATGGTAGGCTTTTCTCGATTGTGCTAGTAAAAGTAGCATAATATGCTACTAGCAGTTCTGGTTTAATGTCTAAATTATGCTCGAATTATGCCAGTTTTAAAAAATTATGCTTGTTTTTTATTATATTATGCTATTCAAAAATATGCTACAAAAGTGGAAAAATCAACGTATTTTGTTATAAAAAGTAAATTTTGTAACTTTTAATAGTCTTTTCTCCTGAACTCAACATAATAGTCTATTTATGGCTCTATCATCGTCCACGAAATCTGTTGCCCAGACTATATATACAGTTCGTTGATTGTTCTCTGAGTTAACAACTCAACGTTTGTTATATTGAAGCATTACACTTGCTTGCAAATAATCTGATAGTGCATGATGCTGCTGATCGTTGAATGAGGCGTTAAGTATTGAGAAAGCTCTCTCAGCAGCAGCGGATGACAGTTGAACCGGTAGGACTTTCTTAACAGCAGAAGACCAATTGGGAAGTTGTTCTGCGTGATGTTTCCACCATTCGACCTTCTTCTCTTCGGATGAAATTATCACGTCTGTTGCGGCCGCGACATACTGCGGTAGCTCTTTAACCAGGGCGTCAATTGTAGCATCATTGTTAAGAAATGGAAAGATCTTCAAGGTCTTAATTGTTTCGGCTGTGGGTGCTAACCACTGGACGGCCACAGGGCACATTATTCTTGCAGCTTTGAAGGCTGATACTGTGTTATAAAGTTCCACATTAAACTTTCGCAGGAACCATCGTATGGCTGGTTGTACACATTCTTTGGCCCTTTGCTCCAGCGTTTCAACATTTTGGGTTGGATCTTGATTTGCAATGGAGACAGCGACTGCACGTACGTTTGGAAAATGTGGATTCTGGCAAGCCTCGGCAACAGCTTTCAGCTTCTCGTAACAGGAAAACACAAGAGGACCATCACCTTCCAAGTAATATGTAGCCTTCACAAAATGTTGCCCAACGTCAACGGTCACAGCAAGCTCCAGCTTGAGGTCAATTAGGCGTCGGGGATCAGACATGATTGCTTGAAGCTGTGGCACAATCTGTGCACAGAATTTCGCATCTTTTGCCATTTCAAGAAATCTGCCAACATCTCCGAATTGCTCCAAAAGCTGCTGATAAATTTCCCATTTTGACCACCAACGCGTTTCGCTGTGGGATTTTGGCTTTCGACCCGTCAGATCCTGCCATGCTAATTTTGCCTGGTGGCTATGGCTAAACAGGCGTATCCAGAGGTTTCCAAACTGCAAAAGAGTAGGAATAAGCAGGTGATTACCAACATTATCGAGCGTGTGGGAAAAGCAAACGACGTTGAGTAGGTTTGGAAATATAAAGGCTATTCGATTCAATGCGGCTTGGTTGACACTTGCTCCATCTCTCATTGCTGCAAGTAATGAGTTTGCCTTGATGCCATATTCGACTGACAGACATTCGTTCAGAACCCTTGCTAGCTGTTCCGAGTTCACTGACTTTGAGCAAATGTCAATCCGCATAAGACGCTGAGTTATCACCCAGTCGTCATTGATGAAGCGAACGATGATTGCAATTGCCTCGCCTTGTCTGGTGCTCCCGTCAAATATTACTGACACGTCTCTTGTCATCTCTGTGCTGCCGGGTGCAGATATTTCTTGCTTTATTCTTTCAGTTTCTTGTTTGCAAGTGAGGGATATATACTGCCCGAGATTGGAACTACCAGTGAGACGATATCCATTCTTCTCTAAGAGAGGTCGTAGTTTGTCAACTTTGTGGATCGGGATTCCGGCTTTTAAAAACTCTTCCACTACTTGCTGTCGGTATGCTCGCTCAGCTAAGGGCAGCGTACTCTCTTTCTGGCTTTTCTCACGACTAAGGGCCTCGGAAATAGTTTGGTCTCTCAATTTCGACTTTTGTAACTGCGCTTTTCCACTTTCGTGTTTTTTGGAAGAACAATGAGAAACTACAATGCTTTTCTTTGACGAAATCACTTCTTTGCAAGCATTGCAAAATATAGCGTTACCTCTAACACACAGATGTTGATTTGGAAATTGATTTACTCGATCTCGTAAACAAATTTTCTTCACGTCAGAAGCTCCCCGGCTCTTGTATTTATTCTTGTTTGAATCTGACCACCGCTCTCGAGCAATTTTTGCAGGTGGTGGCCTGTTTGCACTATTATTATCACTATTTTCCTGTTGCCTTCCTTGTGCAACCTGTAAGTTTATATTTTCCTGAGAGGCTGACGCCATCTTGGATATTGAGTAATGGGGAAATGTGGAGTGTGGACTGGGTCTCATATTAAGGTGATTACCTTACTAACTACAGTAGTCAGCGTAGTGTTGTTTAACAATCACTTCCTGCAAGTGTTTGGACAAAATTCTAAAGAACAAGTATAAAGAAAACTAAAAAAATTTTCACATCTTTAGCATTTTGCTCTGAAACTTAGACATGTCTGGCAATTGTCTGCAGATTATGCTAGCAGTGCTTTTTTCTAAAAAAATGCAAAATTATGCTTGTTTACCCAAATTATGCTAAAAAATATGCTACCTAAAAGCCTACCGGACGGATGACATATATATGTCGCCGCGCAGGGTAGTTAGTGCCTTACGTCTTCGCTGGTTGTTATACTTTAAAATAATTTTGTATGTACCGAGAAATCAATATTCCGAGTATATAAATATATAAACTGGGATGTCACACTGATAGCTTGTTTATATTTCCTGGAGCATCATGAAATCTTATGTTTAACCACGGTGGTAGAACCCATTAGCTGGCAATGCGCCCTTCCCTTGTCGAGCGCCAGAAGATTTTACTCGTCAGTGGTATAGGGTACTGCCAGTAAATGGGTTAACAAACCTATCTGCCAATGGCTCTTGTTAATTCATCAGCACAGTAATGACCCCTACTTTAGTATTTACCCTGTCCAACGCCAGACGATTTTTAATACCCAGTCAGTGGTAGGGTACTGTCAATAAATGGGTTAACAAGGATAACAATAATTAGCCTGCATGGCAGGCGGTATTTCCCAGGCTTGCCCAATTTTAGGAACCGCCTGCAATGCAGGCTAAACAATAATAGGATGTTTCTGAAGGACTCGTTCAACACCCTGTAGTTTGTCTTTTGCTGTCAAAGGCAGCATTACTGCCCTGTGGGTAACCTAGTATTGTTAGTATAGCCCCTAGTAATTAAATTAACACGTAGGTCTTGAAGGCGTTCACTCCAAGGGTGAAAGGATTCATTATGTAACAGTAGAGCTTTATCTGTAGGTTTAATAAAAAGGTCAGATTCCATTTGTTTAAGGTTGTTAATGTAAATATTAGTATCAAGAAAATGGACTCTTTCATAGGAGTACTCAATTTCGAATTTAATAGTGGGATGGAAGTTGTTAATATGGTGCAGGAACTCCTTTAGTTTATCAATTCCATGTGTCCATATTGCAAAGATGTCATCGATGAATCTTATCCACTCAAGCGGAATCAATCCACCAGGGGAATCCTTTAGCATGTTGTGTTCTAATTGACCCTTGAAAAGATTGGCATATGAGGGCGCCATTGGAGAACCCATAACAGTACCTTGGGTCTGGAGATAATATTTATTATCGAATTCAAAATAATTGTTATGAAGTACAAGTGTTAGTATTTCCTGTAGAAAATCAGTGTTAGCTTCGCTATTAAATCTTTGAAGGTCTTCAATTGATGCGGCGATGCCTTCATGATGCGGGATGTTAGTGTACAGAGATCTAACATCTATTGTTAGAAGAATAATGTCATTGGGACTGAGATTATGGTTAAGTTTGAATATACGTCTAAGGAAGTCTGTTGAATCTTTAACAAATGAGGGGATATTGCTAACTAAGGGTTTGAGGAAGTGGTCCGCATATTTCGATAATCTGACAGTGGGGCCATCACATCCAGAGGTAGACCTACTACCCGGGTTGCCAGCATAATGAATTTTAGGTAGTAGATAAAGGGTGGGAGTTTTAGTTGGTGTGGGGGGCAATAGGAATTTAAATGTAGTGTAATCAAATTGACCCAATTTGTGGTTATTATGAACATATTGTCGTATTCTAGTTATTAGTTCAGGGATGGGATTCGTTGAAATATGATTGTAATGGGTGGTGTTAGCAAGTTGTTTAGAGGCCTCATTTACGTAGTCATCTCTTGGCCAGATGACAATGGCCCCACCTTTGTCTGCTGGTTTAACAATCAAGTTGTCGTTTTTCTGCAAATCGTTTAATGCAGATATTTGTTCTCTTGAATAGTTTTTATGTATGTTAGTAGGGGTATTTGAGTGCGAGTGTATCTCCTGATAAACTAGGGAAATAAATTCAAAGAGGTTTTCATTATCAGGAAGCGGAGGTGTAAAGTCACTTTTTAATTTGAACGGATGGCAGGGTATATTATTATTAGGAGATTCTTTAAAGAAATATCGTAAATGCATTTTTCGTCGAAAGTCCTGATATAGCTCCTGTATATAATCTCTCTATTAGTGGGTTGTGGTGCATGTGGGGATAAATTTAAGACCCTTCGATAAAATTTGAATGGTGGGTTTGTCAAGGGGTGTGTTTGATAGATTCACCACACTATCCTTAATATGTTTCGTTTTAATTTCAGAGAGAATTGCACTTTTACTTTTAAATCGATAATTATTGTTATTTCGTTTAGTTACTAAATAGTTTCGTACAGACTGGCTGCACTCGTCGGACTAAAATGCTAAAATACTAATAACATGTATATAGGGTGTCCCAAAAAACCCGAAAACTATTGAAATCACTTATTGTTAAAATTGAATGCCCTACCAAAACGCTGAACGTAATATGCGTAAAATATTGACAAGGTACATGTATTAGAATTTAGTTAAGAACATCTCCTTGTAAAGTGCGCGATTTTCTGCTCTTGGGAATTTAAAGCAGCTTCTTAAATAGTTTCTTTATGCATAAAATTTACTTGGGTCAACCATTTATGCACGCGTGGGAACCAACAGAGTGCTAAGGCATTCAAATTCTAACAATTAAATTGTTATTGGTGATTTCAATAGTTTTCGGGTTTTTTGGGACACCCTGTATATATGGTGAAAAACAGGAAGTTGTATAGTCCCTAAGGTGGTATTATGCTGATAGAGGTGATTGGTGAAATTATGTTAACTATAAAATTGCTCTATTATCCAAAATTTTCCTAATTAAAAAGTCTATTGTTTTATGTTATGAAATTTCTAAGGATAAAATTACTTGCGTGCCGACACGCAGAAACAAGTTCATTACGTTTGTTTAAAGTGGAGAGGTGAGGTTTGTTAATTATAAAATATGTTTCACATAAACATAAATTATATCTATTAGTGGCAGGGGCGTATGGTAACTATGGTTTCGCTTGCTTCAAGATTTTCCAAGTGATCTGATGTTTAGTCTTACTGTTATTTAATTCCCAAATATGCTTGCTAAGTTCTGTGTTTGATTTCTTCGCTTCGTTATTAAATGTACATTTGCGGTTGCAGAATCTCTTCTTAGTTGAAAGTGTTAGCAGTGAGGCCGACGTTCGTTAAACTTTGCTCCTGGTTGCTCTCGTTGTTAGCTACTGTAGCTTGATAAATAACTGATTCCTTCAAACATTTCTTGTCTACAGGGCAATCTTCTGGCTTGTTACAGTTGCATGTTTCTCGTCCGGTGTCCCAGGATTTTCGCCCCCCTACATTTTCGCCCCCCAGGGGGGCGAAAATCCTAGGAATTTTGCCCCCCTTTAGGAAATTCGCCCCCTTTAGAAACTTCACCTTTTCTTTAGGATTTTCATCCTCCGTTCAAAGTTTCGCCCTTCCTAACAGTTGCATGGGATACTAACAGTTGCATGGGATAACTATTACATGGCTTTAATCATTTGAAATCAGTATCAATTCAAAATTGTTAAGACAAGGCTTGAAATAACAACCGATCAATGATTGGCAAGAAATTGCTTATGATCGGCGGAAAAGCCGGGTTTCGGTTTCCAACCTGAAAAAAGCAGGGAAAGTCGTGACTGCCGATCACCATGATCTGGAACTTTGGGAACGTTATTTCAAGCCCTGCATGTAAGAATACAAATTTACAATTGCATGTATCGAAAGGGCTTACACAGTTACAGTAGATCAATAGGACTTGTGACGCTTCACATCACACCATGCATATTTTGCATTTCAGTGTTAATCCTTAAACTCATTGTTAAAAAGTAATCACCGTGGTGGTTATTGTAATTATAATTTATTGGTATTGTTTTGCATACACGTTTTGCCGTCGTCATTGGAAAATGTGTGGCTTATAAGTTGTCACTATGTCTAGCTATGTTTTACTTGCATTATTTCAATATAGTTTGTAAATCTCAGAAGCGAAGGGTAGAACTTGCCAATAGGCAATACTCCAATAATATACGTTTCAAAAAAAGACAAAAAAGCTTTTAGTTTTCCCGAGTTACATTCTCAAATGTTTATAAGGCACTAATAAAATCAAAGTATCATGAAATTATTTGAATAAATCACACCACATACATAAGGCAATTTTCTTTGGGGAAGTCAAGAATCAAGATTACATCACTAACACTGACATGGAAAGTTGATAATTCAACAGACAATAGTCAATACGCTTCCCAACACATTCCATAGATTTTTCATTAATCCTATACAGTATAGTTTATTGTTAGCGAGTGATTACTGTGGCGGCTATTATTAACACTGGTATTGATAAAATTTGCAAGCGAAATTAAAAAAATTCAGAAATTCAAAATTTATATGGGGG